GTGGGTTAAACCACAGAGCCTAGGACTTGCTGTTCAGAAGGTCGGCGGTTCAAATCCCCATGATGGGGTGAGCTCCCGTTGCTTGGTCCCTGCTCCTGCCAACCTAGCAGTTCAAAAGCACTTCAAAGTGCAAGTAGATAAATAGGCACCGCTCCGGCGGGAAGGTAAACGGCGTTTCCGTGCGCTGCTCTGGTTCGCCAGAAGCGGCTTAGTCCTGCTGGCCACATGACCCGGAAGATGTACGCTGGCTCCCTCGGCCAATAAAGCGAGATGAGCGCTGCAACCCCAGAGTCGGTCGCGACTGGAGCTAATGGTCAGGGGTCCCTTTACCTTTACCTTTACGCTGAATAAACTGCTTGTAAATATGCTCAACACAGCCTCTCCCTGCCACTTCTGAAGGCTTCTGAAGCTAGGGTCGCAGTTTCATGCTGATCCAAGGACTGGAGATCACCCAGCACACTGGCTGGTGGGCTGGAGCCAGCTGGGGGCCTGCCAATTGCCCCCGATTCCTTGGCTGCACCCCAACAGATTGCTCCATCTTGAAATCCACATTGGTCTTTGGTCTGCTTCTTCCCTCCATGCTCTTTCTTTATCTGTTTTGATGCTTTCCCGTCCAGCCAGTTCCTTCTGCCAGTGGCTCCCCTCCAGCAATATGGCGCTGCGGAGTTAGGCCACATTCTGTTTCCCCATTGCTGCCTCTGGATACCTCTGCATATGGCAACAGTGTTTTGGTAAAAAATAATCACCTGCAGATATAACCCCTTTTCCAATACCGGTTTGTCCAGTTGTGTGTCAAGGTCCCCCAGGCCACCCCTAAATAATTCACAATTCACGCATAATTTTTGTTTAAGGTTTTTGGCATAATTTTGGCCACAACTTTATTAAAATACATAAATGTGAGTGTGTGTTGCTTAGGCATTGGTTATGACTATCTGTCCCCACGCCCGGGGACAGAACTGACTTCCAGATTCCAGCGAGAGCCAGTAAGGGAAAACAATATTGGGGAGAGCATGGAGCCGGGCACCAGACCCTCATCCCCACCCCCGCATGCTCCCAGGGGCTTGTGAGGCCCTAAGCCCCATTCAGGGGTATGGATGAAAGAATGGCAAGCCCCTGGATTCCTTTAATGAATTCCCTTTCCACAGCAGCATTGGAGGGCCAGGCATCGCCAGTCCTTACCCCTCCACCAACCAATTTTTTAACCAATGCCTAACCGCAACCTTACAAGCTGTGACGATTTGCTACACAGTAGGCAAAAACCAAATGGCACCAGCCAATCAGCCAAATGGACAAAATTCCTACCAGGCCCCTGCCCCAAAAGCAGACGACCCCATGACAGGCATAGCAAGGTCAACGCAATAGCCCTAGGTTAGGGAGGGTGGGCGGGTGATCCGATGCATGCAGCAAAAGAGCCCAGTCAGTGCTGCGTGACTTGATTTTATAACCTTTGGTCCGTCCCCCCAAATGGCAACACCAAAATTTGCCCACTAACCCAGCCGCCCAATCACTGTGGATGGTCATCCATACTAACCTGCCCAGCAACAGAGGGGTGGCCTGTCAGACCCCACCACAACACATGCTCTCTATGAAAGAGAACATGCTTTACTGAAAAATGAACATTTTAATAATTCCTCAGGTGATCATTTTGGTGGAAAGCAGGTGGAATTACTGTGGGGAAAACCACACTGAATAAACTAGGCCTCTGGCTCCAGCAGCAGGGCAATTCTAACGTTCAGTCATGTGAAGTTTTGGCACATGTATGTATCTTAACAATTGTTGGTTATTTTATTTTATTTTTTAAAGAACTGAGTGCTTTATGCCTACTCACTGTAGCATCTGAAGTGTTCCTGTAACGCATCTACAAATTATGCAAAGTGCCACTTTCAGCCAAACTATGCAGATGAGCTGAAGTCTCCAAGCTCATGTTATTACCAAATATGGTGTTCTGCTCAGAACAATTTGCCTTCCCCAGCTGTGCCATAATGTTCAAAGGTAACCATTTCCCCCACAAAACTCATTTAAAACAATGCCCTATTATTCCTTGAAAAATGAAAATAATCTTAAGAGTAGGCCTATGATTTAACTGTATTCCGTTACAGATTCTGACTGCATTTACTTATGCAGAACTTGGCACTGGCTGCGGAATTCGACATCCTCAGAATATTTTTTTAAAAACCCAAGCAAAATCAAGTTTCTGGTCCACAAGACTGTGAAAGTATGTTTGATAACATGAGAACATGGTGGTAAAATCTCAAAAGTCTGGGGTGCGAGGAAGCAGGGGACAGATCCAGAGGGTGTTCTGCATAACTTTTTGCCCCTTTCAGTGAGACTGAAAATAAGACAATATTGTGACGTTAACATATGAGAGTGCTGGAGGTGAAATAGTTAAACAGGTTACCCAGTCAGAACCCAGGGGGGTGGAGTCAGAGGGACTATAAAACCAGCTCTGGGAGGGGCAAAAGGAGAGTTCGTTGGGAGTTGGGTGGTTGGCTGGAGTGGGAGTGAATTGGGATAGAATCTGTGGGTAGGGTGAGTTAGTGTAGTGAAATAAGCTGAGTCAGGAACAGTTAGGAGCTAGGAAGACAAGTAAATATCTGAGAGGTGGTTTAGTGAGTGAGAGCAGGTAGCGGAAGTTATAGGTCTGGATAGGCACCCCATGACTGTAATTGACCGATACCATTTATGAAACCGCACACTTGTTAAACTGCAATAAATAAACAGAAGTTTATGCTCCTAATTTAACCCTGACTGGACTCAGTATTGTACCAGGTAGGGCCTGGGTGGTGGCAGCGAGAAATAAAGTGGTGGCACAGGGATCAATAGACGGTGAAACGTCCAGGGACCCTGTGTGATCGCCACAAATATATGCAAGGATGCTTGATGTGACATAATTACAGAATTTGGGTTAGTTTGCCTATCAAAATTTCCACGTCGGAATTTATGGAGCCCTGTCTAAGGTCTTGCCTCTTACATTTTTAAAATTTGGTTGTTGCCCTAGACCAGACATGTCCAACTGGTCGATCGCAACCTACCAGTCAATCGTGGGGCATCCCTGGTTGATTGCGTGACCCTGATCTATCAATCAAAAAATTTGGATCTTCCTTCCCCTCCAAATCTGAACAACTTAGTGTCTTCTTCCCACGACTTAGTGTCTCCCCCCTCAAAAAAAGCTCAACAACTTTGGCTCCTCCCCCAAAAAGTTCAACAGCCTTGGGTCTTCCTCCCCCCCAAAAAAGCTCAAAAACTTTGGTCAGTGGGTAGATCAATCCCAATGGGAGTAGATCGCAGTCTCTTGGGAGTTGGACATGCCTGCCCCAGACAAAGCAAAGTTTTGCATGCCCACTGTTATGCATGTGCACCCATGCGACACACCCCTTCAGTTGTTTCTTGTGCTGAACAGCTTAACAATAGGGCATTACAGGGTTGGCCCGTCCCCTTTTGCTGCCTGAGGCTGCTTAGTTTGCCTCTGTGGATGGACCAGCTTTGTCACCCTTTAGACTACAGTACTTGATGATTGGGCGTAGCCAGGATTTTTGTTGGGGGTGTAGAACCTCAGATTTGTATTGAATTGTATTGCTTTTGATTAGGAAGGGGCAGCCAGAGCCGTCTTTCCCATTGGTCTTAGTGGTCCGTTGCGCCAGGACGATGGCCTCTCAGGGGCGCCCTAGCGAGTGGGGAGCTGTGCGGCTTTGCCGGCAGCCTTCCCTTTCCCTGCACCCCGCCAGCTGCGGCCTGCAAACTATATGGCTGGCAGGCATGCAGCTTCCTTCCCAAGCCTCCACTAAAGACAGTCCTACTCCCGGTCGTTGTGCTTTTCCTGCTTCCTGGTGAAAGGTGGCGTGCAGCCTTCCTGGGCTGCCTCCTCGGGCGCCCCAGGGCATGTCCGCCACCACGTTTTCCTGCTTGATCGCCGCCACCACGTTGGGGATCGGGGCGGTGGGGGAGGCAGAGGACATTTTCTACCGGCCCCTTCCCTTGTTTTGGAGTTGCCGGGGGGAGGGGCCGCTGGAGGGATCATCATCACCATCATCATCATTTTTAATCTGTATACCGCCTTTCTATCTTACAATACTCAAGGCGGTTTACAAGCTGAAGAAACAAAAAATGTACAACTTATAACAATCTAATGCAATACAAATATGTGATAATAAAGCATAACTTTAAAATAGGCAATCTCCATCAAAAAAGTAACATTCAACACTCATTAGAATGGTATAAAATAATAATACAGTGGTGCCTCGCAAGACAAAATTAATTCGTTCTGCGAGTTTTTTCGTCTTGCGAATTTTTCGTCTTGCGAAGCACGGTTTCCCATAGGGTATTAACGGTTTTAAGAAAAAGGAAACAAACTTGCAAGACGTTTTCGTCTTGCGAAGCAAGCCCATAGGGAAATTCGTCTTGCGAAGCAACTCAAAAAACGAAAAACTCTTTCGTCTTGCGCGTTTTTCGTCTTGCGAGGCATTCGTCTTGCGAGGTACCACTGTATCAACATATAAAAGTTAAACAGAAATCCACAGTTACAATAATATCTAAAGTATAATCAATAAAACAACAGCAAGCCACAGTACATAAAACAATACAATACACATTGAGAAGCAGAGACTAGAGGGTGGAGCAAGGCAGGTGGAAGGAGGCCTTGCCTGATGGAGTTTGCATCACAGCGCTGGATATGCTTAGGACAGCCCTGGGGCAGCTCCCCCCCTGCCCCCTGGCTATTCTCATGATTACAACTGGGGGGGGGGAGGGAATTCCTCCCAGTCGTTAGTTTTCTCCAGTGTGTTGAAAATTTCATGAGAGAGCCCTTGCCACAGTGAGACGGGCATGATGACGATGAGACTCTGTGGTTAAATGTATGCCGTATATTGTGGGTGGGTGTTCCAGATGGCATCGCTTTATATCCATTGGAAAGAAAATAGGGTGGCTGTCAGTATATCAATAGTTCTAGTCACAGGTAGGTAGCCGTGTTGGTCTGCCGTAGTCAAAACAAATTTTTAAAATTCCTTCCAGTAGCACCTTAGAGACCAACTAAGTTTGTTATTGGTATGAGCTTTTGTGTGCATGTGTATCTGAAGAAGTGTGCATGCATATGAAAGCTCATACCAATAACAAACTTAGTTGATCTCTAAGGTGCTACTGGAAGGAATTTTTTCTTCTTCAATTTTTTCTATTAAGTTTTCCACAATTATAACAAATATAACATAGAAAAAAACACACACAAAAGAAAACACATTACAATACTAATAAAAGAAAAACAAAGAATTTAAATACATATTACCTGTGAAACCCAATTTAGCTTTCATTGTTAATTGACTTCCTCAGATCCCTCCTATCTGAATTTCATTGTATCACCTTATAACAGCTCTCCAATATCATTTTTCAAATAAAATTGATACCATCAATTAACTGTCTTCTTTTCTTTTCTTAATATTCTAAATCCAAATTACTTACAATTCAATCTTATTTTAATCCTAGGCCTATTTGGTACTTTCAAGTGACTTCTAGTTACTTATATTACAATATTTAATTAAATAGTCCTTAAATTTCTTCCAGGCTTCTTGATATTCCTCTTCCTTCTGGTCTCGGATTCTTCCAGTCAGGTCGGCTAGCTCCAAAAAATCCAACATCTTCACCTGCCATTCTTCTGTTGGAATTTCTTGAGATTTCCAATTTTTAGCTAATAGCAGTCTTGCCGCTGTAGTGACATACAAAAATAGTCTAACTTCTTTTCTGGGCAATTCCAATCCTATTATTCCAAGTAGAAAGGCCTCTGGTTTCTTAGTAAATGTATTTTTCAACTTTTTTTTTCCAATTCATTATAAATCTTTTCCCAGAAGTCTTTCACCTTGGGACATGTCCACCACATGTGAAAAAAGTACCTTCTTTTTCTCTACATTTCCAACATATATTGTCATTTGTGTGGTAGATCTTTGCCAGTTTTACTGGGGTTAAGTACCATCTATACATCATTTTCATGATGTTTTCTTTTAATACAGTACATGCAGTAAACTTAACCCCTTTCTTCCACAAGGAATTTTTTTGGTATATCAATAAAAACTCTTCTGCCAGGCAAAATTTCCTCCCCAGCATCAAAAAGAGAAAAGAAAAGAAAGCTTAAGATGCACATGGTCAAATTTGCCATACTGAGCAAGAGCAAAACCCTCCCCCTGGTGTGTTATATGCGCGTGAAGACAATTCTCCCCACGCCTTGAAGATCAGCAGGCAGTGACCCAGATCTTGGGCGCTTTGTTGGTGCAGAGTGAATTGATTGTTAATTGCAGAGATGTTGCTTTTCAAGTGTTTAATGGTAACACAACGTATCTGAACAAGGCAATGTGCTCTTGCTCGAAGGAAGCAGCTCAGATAGTAACAAGGCCAGAGGTAATTTACGGCTAGTATTATGTAGAGCACCTGCTCTATCAGCTAAAGTTGAAAATGGAGGTGAATTTCTTAAGGGACCTCTCCCCATCTCCTTTGGTTCTACCTCCCCATGCAGGGCTCTTTTGAATGTGTCCATTGCTCTGGATTATTACGATATTGAATGTGTCTGTCACTGCGGTTTTGCCTACAGCGTTGCCCAGTGAGAGTCAGGGATTTGACAAAAGAATGTAATTGTGTACAGTGACACTGGGTAGTTTTTCTTCAATTACGAGGTTGCCTCTAGGGTGAAATCTACGGACCATTGCTCCTTGGGGTGGGGTGGGGCAGGGTGAGAGAGAGAAAGTGAGACAGAAAGACAGACAGACAAAGTTTGCAGCATGAATTTATAGAGAGAGAAGGGGTGAGATTGGCTGAATTTGCCTTCCTTTTTTTGAAAATCAAGCCGATACTTCCTGTTTTTTTGAAATAATTTTTATTTGATTTTACACGTATAGAATTATAACAATACAAAATACATATCCACATTTAGATATTTCTCTGAATCTCTGGACTTCCCACCTTCCCCTTCGTGGGTCCTATTGTCAACCTTTTCAACTGCATATTATTTCGTAATCCAGATTTTATATCTCTCCATTTTGTTCAAAATATTTGCTACATTACAAGTGTTATTGGAATCCTGCTAATGTTTTCATCTGCTTACAGTGCTCTCCCAAGTAGATTATAATTTCCCCCCATTCTTTATTAAAGTTTTGGTCGTCTTGGTTCCTGAGCTTCCCGGTCAGTTTTGCCATTTCTGCAAATCAAGAATATACTTCCAAAAGAGCATATTATCTCTCATCCGAAGGAAGCTAACTGTAGGGAGTGCCCCTGGAAATTCTTACTGTTCTGAAGTGGAAGTGCATAAAAGTATATTTATTTATTTTTACTTGAAGGGTTTTACATTGCCCAGTAAAGACTCTCCTCCTGGAAGAGAGGGGAGTGGTTGTGGGCGGGAACCCGCACTCACCTGGCTGGCGCCCACGCCCATCAGCAGGCACCCAACCAGGTGCCTCCGAGGGGGCGTGTTCAGCAGCCTAAATGCTGTGGCGCCAGCCCCTCCTCTGCCTCACTCTTCGTCGTCCCGTCGCGATTCACCCACCCTCCACTCCCTTTGAGCTCAGGGTCTTAGTTTTCCTTGGCCTTGCTATGGACCTTAGGTTGGTCGCCCTGGTTGTCCGGGGGGCCTGGTAGGAATTTTTCCATTTGGCATTAGGCTTTTGGTTTTTTCGCCTACCTCGTAGCAATCGTCACAACTTTCGTGGTATTGGTGGGTAGGTTAGGCATTGGAATAATGTGTTGTGGTGTGTCGAAGGGCTAGGTGTGGCCATCGCCTATGCCTTCAATTTTTGGGTATTCCGTTAAAGGAATCTGGCAGTCGTGTATTCTGTCCGATGCCTGCTTGGCGGGAGGGCATGGCACGACCCTCGGTGACATCAGGGGAGAGCCTATAGTTGGATTAGCATCAACAGGCTCCACCTACTGGTGAATAAACCCCCCTCGTTTCAGACTCACCCTCTCTGAGGGGTGGAGTCAGCTGATGTAATCCAATGCCTAAGCCAATACCTTTTCACTTGCTGTAATCAATAAAGTTGTGGCCTTTTCTTGCCCATTAACCTTATATCACGTGTCCTTGTGTATTCATTCCTCTTTGGGGGGATCGGGTCCTCGAACCACAACAAAAAATTCCCTGGGCAGCTAGCAATCAAGGAGAAACAATTCCATTAAAAGATGAACAAGTTTGTGCTGGATAGAAAGGGACAAGCTTCACTTGAACCGAGATATAACCCAGCCTACTGGTGCTTAAAATTAAGAAGGTGGCAGATCAGCTTTTAAACTGAATGGGAAGCTGACAGGACCTGAGAAGGGACCAGTTTGGAATGAATCTCCCCTCCCCACTGGGATGAAGGTGATAAAAGTAATGCAAACTTAAATGGGGGAGGTGTTGAACTAGGCATTGTGAGTGCATATCCTCCAACATTTCTGCGATGAAAATAGGGACGTCCTGTTCCATAATGATAATTTTACTATTTATACCCCAAATACCTTATTGGGTTGCCCCAGCACTCTGCACAGCCTCCAACATATACAAAAACATAATTAAACACTAAAAAACCTTCCCTATTCAGGATTGCCTTCAGACGGCTTGGGGGTTGGTTAACTCCATACCATACCCTCCAATATTTCTCCAAAGAAAACAGGGACGTCTTAAGGAAAAGTGGGACATTCCAGGATCAAATCAGAAACTGGGGGGGGGGGGGAAGGCCATCTAGCCCTCAGGATTAAAAAAAGTTCGCCACCCCTGTTTTATTAACAAAGGACTTCCTTACTGTTTTTACTATAGAAGACATTGCACCTTCCTGAGTGTTCCTCATTATTTGTTTATAAAAATATTTATATACTTCTATTCATTAAAAAAATTCAAAATACAAGAATACATAAAACCATGCAATGAAAAAATTAAAATTTTAAAATCAAGAGATCAGCTTACTATATAGAAGGATATTGTCAGCACAAACTTGGTGACACATTAACAGAAACACGTGCCTAGTGTGTAGATCTATTCCTCCCTGCAGATTTTCTGTACAGTATTTTCTGTTTGTGGACTTTGACTTCAGAAGTCTTGCCTGAATGCAGATAGCTCTGTTGGTTTCTCAGAGACTGTGGCTTTTATTTTGTTATCTAAAAGGCTAATTTCTCCTCTGTTTAGCATCTTCTCTCTGCTTTCTGTTTGCACTCTGTAGTCACAGTGATCACAGTCAGCCACTAATCCTGCTCTAGCCATCCATCTCCCAGGAAAAGAACAAAATAGCTTTTGCCCTTTGTTTAGCTTTTTCATCACACAAATGCCTGCTATATATGTATTTTATTGAACATTCTCTTCCCCCCTCCCCCCCCATCTTGGTTCTGGAACAAGCAGTCTCATTTCACTGCTTCTGAGCAAAACATTGCCCATCCTCATTAATTTAGTTCTAGCATTACTGCCATGTGAGGTTTCAGCTCTCTGTGCCTTGCTTAATATATCCACCTTGAGAGAGAAAAATAGGATGTGTATACTGTTATCTTTATAACAATTTATAGCAACAATTAGAGTTTTCATTAGGACACAATTTGCATCTGAGTAGACATACCAATATAAAGGTAAAAGGTAAAGGACCCCTGGACGGTTAAGTCCAGTCAAAGGCGACTCTGGGGCTGCAGCGCTCATCTTGCTTTCAGGCCGAGGGAGCCGACGTTTGTCCACAGAGAGCTTTCAAGGTCATGTGGGCAGCATGACTAAACCGCTTCTGGCACAACGGAACACCATGACGGAAGCCAGAGCACATGGAAACGCCGTTTACCTTCCCGCCGCAGCAGTACCTATTTATCTACTTGCACTGGTGTGTTTTTGAACTGTTAGGTTGGCAGGAGCTGGGTCAGAGCAACGGGAGCTCACTCCATCGCGGGGATTCGAACCACCAACCTTCTGATAAGCAAGCCTAAGAGGCTCAGTGGTTTAGACCGTAGTACCACCCGCTGACACCCAAATATATCAGATATATAGAAAGCAATAACAATCATCTAAATAGCATCACCAGTTTTCCAAAGTGCACGTGCTTTGGTTATCACAGGAGCCAAAAAGTGATCATTCGTGTGCCATTCCAATGGAAGGCTGCGCCATTCAGCTATTTTGGATTTCATCTTAATGTCCCTAGATCAGGCATGTCCAACTGATCGTGGGATGAA